CCCCTACACTTTCGTTCTACACACTCAAATCCCCCAACTCGTTCCATCGGAAGTTACTACGATCGTTTCCTGGTAACATTGTTCATAATTACGTCACGATTCATACACGAACACATGGAACGATCACCATCCTATTAGTTTTATCCTTCTCTTCGTCATCGTCGTCGTTAACTGTCGCCGCTAATTAGCGGCCTAACAAATTTTTCGATTTGTATGATTCTTCGATGACTGGTTCGACGCATGTTTCCTTTAACTGATATTATACATCGTTCTCTCTCTCTCTCTTTTATTTCTCGCACGTTTGCCTTCAACTCTTTCTTTCTCACTCTCGATACAATTAAAGGAAAATCGTATTACGCTCGTTAACCAGGTACAAATATTATATTTGCGAACACGTTGCTGTTGTTATTGTTAGTGTACGTCGTGTCGCGAATTTTTACGATTAGAACGGGTTAAAAGGAAAAGTAAGTGCAAGGGAGGGGGAGAGGGATGGTATAGTTTCACCACGACAGAAAAAAAAAATAAAAAAGAAAAAGCATAAACGTTTCCAGACTTTCTCTCGTTCTCTGTTCACAGCGTATACGCAGTACTTACGGTCTCTTAAATATAGAAGGGTGATTCATAAATCTAACTTTAAAAACTCATTCCAGTTCTACTGCTCAACGCGTTACTGCCGCTTATAAACAGAAAAATTGATAATACTGCTGCAACTACTACTACTCTACATTCCATGCTGAAAGTCAGCGTGGTAGTTGGTGCTGTTGGTTTGGTTAATATTTAAAGTAATCTACTACGAAATTTTATATTTCATAAAATTAAGTACTTTAACGAGACACACTCTCTTTCTCTATCCATCTATCTTGTTATATTATTTTTTTTTTTTTAATCCTATATCCAACTATACGTTTTTCATCTTTTTAAAGCGTACTTGTGTAGTTTATTTAACAAACAGTAAAAGTACACAAACCTACTTACGATGTCTCTACCTTCTTCATAGAATGTCTACTCGCGCGTGCACATTGTGCGGAAAAATTAGAGCATGTTTTTCGAAGAGAAAGAAATAAAGAAAGAAAAAGAACGGAAATCTGACGACAAGGTACGATAGATAAAGGCATGAAAAGAAAATTCCAAGAAGGATTGCCTCTGTTTGCACGAGAGCGCCAGACGAGAGAGAGACAGGGGGTAGTTTGTTTGCTATAGTAAAAGACGACGCTTGACTCTCGTTTTGCGTCGCGTCTTCAACGAATCAGTGTCATACATCGCGTCCTTGGTATTAAGTTGAGAATTTCCTGTCGATAATGTGTGTGATAGCCGAAACAACCGATATTTATTTATAACTTTATATATTTATAATTATATAAAATTAAATTTGTTGTTAAATTGTTATGTTAATTTTATAAAAATTTTTTAAATTAATCCTCCAAAAATATTATCGACGTTTAACTGCTTAGACGTGTTGCCATTAAAGTGTTAAAGAAAACTAGGATATAATAATCAAATTTAATCAAACGCAAACGTTACTAAAAAAACTAAAAATAATATTTCGACGATCAGTAAAATTTATTAAAATTTATATAGAAATTATCAAACGTAAATGTCCTTTTTGTTTTATTTGGCAATCGATAAATAAAAATAGAGTAGTTTCACTCAATAGGATTTGTTTGTCGAAATCTTCAGTGCTATAGGCAAAAGTGTGTCGCCAGTTGGTTATACAGCATTGTGCGACTTGTTCAAGAGTATTCCAGAAAATAGAGATAGCTCGGCTTCAAGCTAGTAGTCTTCTCGCCACCTCTCGGAATTAAAAGCGTTTCAATGTATACAACAGACCATGTTACCACCACCCTCCCCGGAATCGGTTACCTAATTCCTCTTCGATCGACGGCACATACCTTCTCCCTATTTCTATTTCCCAAATTCTTTCTTTCCCTTCACTCACCCCTCCTTCGTGCAATCTCGCTTAACCCTCCCACTTTTTTTCACTTTTCTCAACACAATTGTGACGAACGAGATAAGAGGGAGAACGAGATAAATGTATGACGATTTTCCAAATAAACCTTCAATCGTAAAACTTATAACCCTTGAATTATTTTTCTTTTCTTTTTTTTAGGACACTCAACGTTATCGATATTCCGACAGTCTCTTTTTACGTACTCAAATTTTTTCTTTCAATTTCATTTTACAGTATCGTTCGTTCATCGATAAATCATCCACCTCGAGCTATCTCGAAAATAAACGGAACGACGAAGAAGAAAACCTTTAGACGTTTACTTTTTATTTCAACACTCTTCTTCTCTCTATCTTTCTTTCTATCTTCATTCTTCCTCGTCTTTTTTACCCAAGGCTACTATCAGGAGCAACCAGAAAATCCGCTTACCCCTTTCGCTATCGTCAAGCGGTAACGCAATGAGAAACCGAGTTCTTCCTGGGTTGAAAACTAAAGCCAGGCTGCACTGCACTGTCCCCTGCCTGCCTCGCAGCAGGGGAGTACGACGTTGCTAACTCTTCTCGCAATAGAAACTTCAACATTTTACTTTATACGAAGAGAAGAGGGTCGACGAAAAGAAGAAGAAGAAGTAGAAGAAAAAGAAGAAGAAGAAGAGGAAGAGAAAAAGAGGACTTTATACATTTCCGTAAGAAAAAGCAGGGAACAATCACCAGTTCTGTAGGATATATCGCTTCAGGGAACTTCAGGATATACGACCCTTCACCACTACTACTACTACTACTACTACTACTACTACTACTACTACCTTGTCGAAAGCAACATCACGACTATCACTTTTACTTCTCGCGTGAAAAAGTTTAGAGAGGAGCAGCTACTGCGGACCGAAGACGTCGTTTTCTGGTCTAACGATACATCCCTCTAAGCTCTTCTCCACCTCGTCGTCGTCGCTTAATCCAAAATACTATACTTCTACTCTTCGATATTCTCGTAAAAGTGTCAAAGTTTATTATTTGTCTTTTTAAAATGAACAAAAAATAAAAAAAATAAAAAGGAAAGGAGTGATGGTAGAGGGTACGAAAAAGAAAAAAAGGAAGATAAGAGGAAAAATATAAGAAGAAAATTTACACATAGATATACTACATCTTTTTTCCCGCGTTAGAAAAATACGCGATCCTTGATATTCGATCGAGCGTATCCTCTCTCGCGGTAAAAGAATTCGTGCAACGAATCCGATAAGAGTCTTTCCAACGGTTCGAAGTAGTTCTTCGTTTCGAAGCAATTCCACGGAGAGCGAGATGAGAAGGTAACGAAAGTACTACTACTACTACTACTACTACTACTACTACTACTACTACTACTACTACTACTACTACTACTACTACGACTACTACTACTACTAGTACGATTTCTACCACTGCGAGGTAAAATACCGATAGAGCTTTTCCGCTCGAATAACTTCGATCTTTCGTTTAAAAGAGAAGGAAAGGGAATAGAGGAAGATAAAGAGGTAAGAGAAGGATATATACACGGTACAACGTCTGGATGAGAAACTATTTTTGCAGGATAGAGTGACATCTAACAAATTACAGGTCGACAATGTTACCTTGGCGACCGATAATCAGACCGCATTCTCTTTATATATCCAGATCGTTACGGTGTTAAGAGAGATGGAGTAGAAATAGAAAAAATAAATAAAAAAATTCGTGTAAGCATTGCACTAGAAAAAGAATCTATTTTCCAACGATAAAGAAGTATTATTTCGATTGAAATAAGAAAATGTTCTCACCCCTTTTTAGGATACATTTTATATGCGGCTAAAGGGAAACAAGCCAAATTCGTGTCGAAACCAATGATGTAATAAATTAGGATAAAAGAATTCACGAGTAGTACTACGAGTACGGTTCTTGTAACCAACACGTGGCTTTGGCAATACCAACGAAATAATCATTCGCGCTTGATCTACTTGGCTAAGTTCGACCATACAAAATTGTACTTCCACATTGGAGAATCCAGAAGGGATTTAAATAACACACGAATCCTTTCGAAAAATCGATTACTTAAGATTTTATCTCGAAACAAACAAAAATATATATGAATATAAATATTTTAAAAAATGTCACTTTTGACATACGATTAAGTTTCGCGCTTAAGAAATTTCAAAATATTTATATATTTGAATCATATTCGAATTCACGAAAAAGCAAATCTTTATAAGTCGTTTGGTACGAGAAAAAAAAACCGAGATTGCCCGAGGGTGGATGGCGTTTCGTTCAGAAAAAGAAGAAGAAGAAGAAGAAGAAGAAGAAGAAGAAGAAGAAGAAGAAGAAGAAGAAGAAAAAGCGAAATCTTGAAATCGAAAAACCCTTGGCGCTGACGCGATAGAACGCGAGATATCAAGGCGAAAAGACTATATATATATATATATATATATATATATATATATATATATNATATATGTATACGCGAGAGCTTTCGGTCAGTAAGCACCATTGTGAAAAATAAACGGTACAGAGGAGATAAAAGCGAACTATATACGAAATAAGCAAGAAGAATAAAAGGAGGTATTGGGAATAGGCTATGGTAACAGAGACAGAAAGAAAAGGAAGGGTTAGTAAAAGAAAAGAATAAGGGAAGAAAGAAAATGAAAGAGAGAGAGAGAGAGAGAGTATATACAGAGACATATTCGCGTACGAGAAACTCGTACGTGTGCGTGCATTTCCGTGCGACGTTCACCACCCCGTTTGATCCGCCCCCGTCCGACGGATGACGTTCAGGATCACGTTCCACCCACACACATGCCTCGAGCAAACTCACACTCTCACACACATACACATGCACTTGTATAACCACGCACGCGTACACCTATAGACAAGTTGAAGTAAACCAACCCACACGTATACGATTGCAATGACGCGCATAAAGAAAAACAGATGAAAAGAAAGTGAGAAAAAAGAAATAGATAGATAGAGAGAAATAGATAAAGAGTGTAAAATTTTCTCATTAAGAAAATACTTGGATATGAAGAGTGAAGAAGAAGATAGAAGTGTCAGCGTACCTTCTCCGGGGTGATGAGCGGTGTGATGTACGTGGTGACCGCCGTTGTGTAAACCTTTTAATAACTTTTAGTTGACGATGCAGGTCACTCAGTACTGGCGCGCGTACCGAGTGCCGTGCTATCGGCGCGACGATCTTCTTTTCTTTCTCCGTAAAAGGGGAAAGAAATGGGCAATAGGCAAACACTCGTATCAGGCACGTTTAACGGCGTCTTCGTTGAGCTCTTTCTTGACACACGTTTTAAGATACCTGTCGAACTTTCGTCTGGAACTTCGTCAAATCCGACGATAACAGACAAATCGAGCAGGTAAACGAGGAGTAAGAAGATTTATCCAACACGAGAATTTTCCTTTAATGATTTTCGTCGACTATCTTTGGCGACGGTAAATTCAATGAAGACTTCGAAAAGACCAACTTTTTAATCAATATGATTCCTTCGATTTCCTTTGTTTGACGTAAGTGTGTCTTTCTTCTACTGTATATACGATATAATATATATCACTGGTTTATAACTGCCGACGAATTAACGACGATAACAATATATCCCGTATACACATTTGAGGAAGATGATGATGATCACAAAAAATCTGATAGTCGTATTTTTTTGTTCGCGCGCGTTTATTACTGCCTTTCCGCTTTAAATCCTTTCGTCGTGTGTCACTGTAAACGATGGGTAAAATTCTTTTGCTATAGTTGCAGAGACCGTCGTTCTTCTTTCTCGTCGCGATGTGATATCTCCGAAGATAAAGAGTTAAGGAGGAGAGGTTGTTGGAGGAGGAGGAGGAGGAGGTGGATGTTGTAATCAAGGGTGCGCGGCGAGACGTTGAGCAAGTTGAGTGAAAGAGAGAGAGAGGGAGGGAAGAGATCGAATATTAGAAGAGGAAGAGCGTGTATTATATATATATATATATATATATATATATATATACGTGTAGGTAATATGTGTTGTATATGAGAAAATAGAATAAGGAGCGCAAGGATTACACGCAAAGCAACGTCAACGTCAGCGTCAACGGTAACGACAACGGCAACGGCAACGGCAACGGCAACGTCAACGGTAACTTGTGTAACAGGGAGGCAGGCAGGTGGTCGTAGTCGCGCTCTTGGTCGTCGTACGTCGGCTCGAATGTTGCGCGCTGTGATGCCAAGAACGGAATGGGACGACCGTGGAGGCCCGGGCAGTGGAATCGTAGCGAGGGGAAGCGAAGGGGAATAGCGCGCGACTCCGCTGGTAGGGAGCGTGCTACACTAAACCTAGTGGTGGTGGTGGTGGTGGTGATGGTGGTGGTGGTGATGGTGGTGGTAGGAGACCGAGTAACCTTCCCTCTCTTTCTCTCTGTTCCCTTCCTTTACCAATTCCCTGTTACCCCTCCAGGCTGAGAGAGGTAACACGACGGTGCTACCCCTCCGAGACGCGCAGGCGCCCCCGGGGCGTTGTCGTTGTTCGACGGAGATAGTAGTAGTAACGCGCGTTTCCTACCCTCTCTCTCACTTTTACACGGTAGAAAGATGGATGTTGCCAGACAGAGAGAGATTGCGAGATAGATAGAGAGAAAGAGAGGAAAGAAGAAGGGTAGTAGTAGGTGGTAGGGACGGAGAGAGGGATTCTCCTTCTCACATACTTCCTTCCTTTGGCACATCGGTGGCACCCCGGCATCGACCGACGCATTCTCCTCCTCGCCAAGCCGACCCAACGGGAATGCTTAATGCCAGGAGAGAGAGAACCTGACTGCCTGACTGCCTACGCCACGCCACGCTCGCTTGACGGCGGAATAGTAACGCCGCAGGGAGAGAGAGAAAGAGAGACAGAGAGAGAGAGAGAGAGAGAGAACTCTGGATCTCCCAACGGTGGGAGGTGGGGCTTCTGCTGCCGTTCCTGCTGCTGCTTCTGCTGCTTCTACTGCTATTGCTGTTGCTGCGTTACTGCTGCTCGTGAGTCCTCCCATCCCCCCATTTTCCTCTTCCTTCTACTACCTTCTACGTAGACGACGAAACTCTTTGCATTTTCGGAGCATGGCTACTTGTTACACCTTCACGACTTAACTTTCTGCCAATACGTCAAAAGAAGACTTACTTCGACTTGGATTCCAACGATTTCATCGATTGAAAAATGAACGTGTCCTATTGAGATTCCTGGTTAGTTTAGTATTTTTTTTCGGTTTAGAAAATAATCTTTTCGATGGGTTTAACTGAATGATTTTAGTAATTAAATATTGATTATTCCTCCCTCTCCCATTCAAGGATAGTTCTTCAACACGTCTTGGTAAAATATAAAGATCTCTTTTCGTACTTGTTTGGTATTCCAAAGACAGATTACTGTCAGAACAGTTTAGCGGTTAAGAGCGGTTGAGCGTTATCTTCGAAGGAGTACAAGTTCGCGTTTAAGAACCCGCTCCGGTTCGACCAATGTTGACTATTACCACTCCCGGCGGATCGTAAAGCCAGCTGCTTCATCAAGTTCCCTCCATGGCTGAAGGCCAGCTATACTTCCCTCTCCTTCTCTTTCTTTCTTTTTCTTTTTCTCTCTTTCTCTCTTTCTATCTCTCTCCTATCTATTTATCTATCTATCTATCCATTTATCTCTATCTACCTATCCATTTATCTATCTACCTATCCGTCTATTTCACTCACTCTTTCTCTCCACTTCTCGTTTTCAGCAAGTTGGTGTGAATGTATCCTATGCTTAACGTTGAAGAAAGAGGATAAGCTAACATAGAAAGATTTCATTGAGCTATAACGTGACTTGGCTTTCGTCCAACGCTATGAACTTCACGCACACCCCTTTGCTATAATCATTACTCGTTTCTAAAAGAGAGATATGCATGGACTTTCGAAACAGGAAAGAAATGAGAGTAAACGAAAGATAGAGAAAAGTTCGTAGATTCATAGAAATCGTACTTTTACATTTCGAATATTTATATCATAATATTAGTTAAAACGAAGGAGAAAAAAAACCTTCGATAATATAATGCATTTTATTAAGAGACAAGAAAATGGTTCTATATCGAAGCAAACAAATGATCATTTTTTTGTTGTACCTTGGTACATTATTTTCTCTGAAATCCACCTTGTGCCTATAATTTCGTTTGCCGAGACATTTAATTCACGACGGTAAAGAACATTTCCAGTAGATAATTCTTGGAGGATTTGTCCTGTCACATTTACGCTCGACTATGTCACATAATGCTTTACCGTGACCCAGTCTTATTACAAGACACCTCCTTGCTTTTATAATGCGACACTAACAATAAGAGTGATCCTAATGATGGGCTGTAGCATTGAATTGCAATCGTTGACTTGATGGCGGTTGTTAGGACAGACGATGAAGAGGAGATGGCGGAGGTAAAAATGAGAACGCACTACTCTCTCTCTCTCTCTCTCTCTCTCTCTCTCTCTCTTTGCTTGCCGACGTATTCGGTATTTGGCTTAGATCCAAAACAAGACGCTGAATGAACTTGGCGGGAAAACTGCATTGGTGGCGCGTGTTTCCTTGCATCGTGCCGACAGGCGTACAAACGAGGTTGTAAATGTCATTACATTTTCCACCAGCGAATGTTCTAATGAAACGAATATAATAATAAATATTGCGTTTATTATATCATTAAAACATAATTTTAATAAGAATAAAGTTTATATTCAAATACTTCTTTTTTCTACCTTTATAAAGTACTTAAAAATATTAAATCCATCCTGTGGAAATAATATTTGCGTATTAAAATGTAATTGTATATTTTGTTTAAAACTTCATAAGAGAGAATCAAAAAGTAGGTTATACATTGAGAAAACCGCACAGTTTCTATTTGACCCCTTAGTAGTAGTAGTTACAACCTCGTGAATGCATGAGTGCACGAGAAGGTTTTGGTGGTAAAATGGTCGAGCCGACGATGCGGAGATGGGTGGGTGTGTAACTGTTTGTCCAACGAAGTCTAACTTCTTCCATAACGATGTATTATCTCTCTTTGTACGCAGATGCTCGCTTTCGTGGATATTACCAAAGTGGTTCTAGAGAGCGGTCGCCACTTTTAAGCAAAACGATATGAAACATGAAAATTACTTGGCAAATCGTTCACGTTAATTAAAAAGAATAATATTAATTGTTCTTTCTTTATTTTATTTATTTGTTTTTAAGCAGATAGACGTATATAAGTTTTAAAGAATTTTTATTATAATGGAAAGGAAAAGATATTGTTAAGATGTATAAATGTATTTTAACTGTAAACTGAAAATTGATAAAACGATTGAATGACGTATTATTCGTTAAGTTGGAGAATTCGGATGGTTGATATACCTAATCGAATTTTGACAATCCTATCGTAGCTGTTACATCAATGACTGTTGGATGGACCACGGATGACACGTAATCATGATATTGGCACGTAATTGAGTTATCGTTCTGAGAGAGAAAGAGTAACCTGTCTTTCGTCGTGGGGTTTCCAACTGTCAGGATATACGTGTTATACGAATAACACATTAACGAAATCCAATCTGACTCATGTAAGATTATAATATCACTGTACGTCAATGTAAAAATCAAAAGAACAAACAATAGTTTTTCGATAATTATTGAATTATTGTTAAATGTTGAAATAAAACAAATCGATTGTACTGCCAATAATTAGGAAAATTTATCTAATATAAAAATAATTTATTATTCTTTGAAAAAGGAAATAGAAGTTTTATATTGTTTTCCTTTTCTGTAAAATCGATTTTTCTTTAAATAAAACTACAATGTGAAAGAAAGAGCATGTTTTTGTGAGCTCATAAGACTAAAACGTTAGAATTTCGATTTTCCTGTTGGATGAAGAAAAGTAAAAGAATAAGAAGAATAAGAAGAAGAAAAGAAGATAAGAAAGAAAGAGTTCGATTGGTTGAGCCACTCGGGAACAAAACTGCTTTCAACGTTGACCCAGTTTTATCGTTGTAAGCTAGCAACGCTGACACTGTCGCCTCGGACAAGACAATTTCGTTCAGAGATTTTCAAATTTTATATTCGTCTACTTTCGATATATTTCAACGAAAACGCACCCAACCATCCACCCACGTACCAACCTATCCTACCCTCTTAACAGCACTCACACGCAATACACGGGGTCTAGTATGGAACCTTATTTCACCTGTCTATCTTTCTCAAAATATTGTTCGATATTTTCTCTTTTTTTTTTTGTTCCCCTATTTTATTCTCTTTTCACATCCTTCCAACAACAGACTATTTTTATTTCAGCAGGGCAGACAAAGCGAATCAGAACTTATCTACGATATTAGACTCACACCCTGTTTGGCATATTTCGCGAAAAAAGAAGAATTTCGTCTCTTCTAGGCTAGGAACACGTCGTCTTATTCACTTTGGGTTTGTTTTCCTCGTCGTCTTGTTTGGAAACCCCTTTTCTCGAGGTTACGAGAAAAGGAGTGAACAAATAGGTGAGTAGAAATAGGGAAAAGAGGGAAGGAAAGGAAGACGAGAATGAAAGAGAATAAAGAGAGAGAGAGAGAGAGTGAGAGATAAAAAGAAAAGAAAAAGGAACAAAATGAAAAGGAATAGGAAAGAGAGAAGACGTGAGAGAAACGAGAATACGAACAAAAACGAAGGAAGACTAAGAAAATGAAGGTGGTAGAAGTAGTGGTGGTGATGGTGGTGGTGCTGATGGTCGGGGCCAATAGTTCAAATCACGCGAACCGTTGCTTCGTAATTAATAGAGCGCACGGAAAGAAAGCTTTCAAGATTCTACACGTGGCTACGTCACGAAAGAGCTTTTCCACGATCAACAGTCACAATACTTAACGTTCTGTTGGAGATAAACATTAATCGAGGTCGACAGATGGTTTATGTAACAGAACTTGCCGAGCTTTTCCATCTTACTGATGTGTAAAAATGATGCACCTTGGATTATTAAATCGTTTTATCTATCCATATAGAGTAATTATGATTGCAAGGATATATATGGGATCAACGGTTACAATTTTTTTAATTAATGGCTTTTATTACAATTGAAATATACATGTTAAAAATCTTGGTAATTGAAACACATTAATGTATAAAAATATATCTAATTCGGTTTTTAAATGGTGTATTTGTGTGTGATAGGTGTTGATATTCACCCCGTAAATTTTGACATTATCTAATTTTATATATATATATATATATATAATTTACGAGAATACCAAAAACAAAAA